AGCTCAAACAGGCTCGGAAAATCTTCATTTTGATTGGTGGAGCCCATCCACCAATCAGGTAAGGGCTGTGTGGGGCTGACTATGTCCCTTACCCAGAGAGGGTAGGCAAAGAGCCTCCCAGACCTGATTGAAGCCTGCATCCTGCAGGTCCAGCAAGCCTTCAGAGGTGGAGCCTCCAGAATGAATAAAATGAGTGGCATGCCCAGCACGCGGCGGATGCATCAGGGGACAAAGAAGCAGGCAGGGCTAAGAAGAGCTAGGGAGAGCTGCCTAGTGGGAGGAAGCGGTAGCCCAAAAGAGCCCTGGAGGACCCCCCTCAGCAGGACTGGAGCAACAAGTGGCTTTGGCTACAGCCCCAGAGGTGCACAGAGTGGTGCACAGGGCAGACTGGGAGTTTCCTGGACACCTGGTACACACGGCAGTGCACAGAGCTACCACACCCTGGGAGCCACATGTGGCGGCTCGGGTCTGCTACCCTCTGTGTGTGGCCAAGGAGTCAGTGCACACAGTGGTGCATGGCGTCCCAAACCATGGGAGTGGCTCCAGGCTATTTGTGTTTGAAATCCCTCCCCTGACATAAGGCCAGGCACCCAGGAGGCACCAGTGGGGTACGGCAGAGCTCTGGTGGTCTGGGTCTTGGGGCCTGCACAAGGCAGCCTGAGCCCCAGTGGAAGACAGAAGACAAGGCCTGGGTGTTGGGACCCACATGAGGCGGCCCAAACCCCAACGAAGTACAGAAGGCAGGGCCCTGGGTGGCCCTGAGAAGGCACCCGCAGCTCTGGGAACCCCTCCCGGCCTGCTTCCTGGATCCATGAGTACCCAAGGAATGGTTCCCCACAGGGGAGAAAGCCCTGAAAGGGGGTCCTGAAGGATCAGGGGCCAGGTGAGCCCACCTGGGGCTGAGGAGGTACTGGGACCCTCCTCCCCCTAGGAGGGTGCCAGGGTTTGGCACCCTAGGGGAAGGGCCAGTAGCCTCAGCCATATGGGTACCTGGAAGGGGAAAGACTTGCACCTCCTATTTTGTAGAGAGATAGATCGATTGTTATTCTCCAATGTAACCTGGGTTATGTCAGCAAGTTGAGGCTTATCTGTATCTAATTGTTGTTGTTCTTGCCTGAGCTTGCCTGTTGATTCTTGTTTATCTGCTATACTTATCTGTTGTTGTTATAAATATTTACCAATACTTTCTTATAAATCTGTAAATATCTGTATCAGTTGGATATTAATAGCTATCTTTTATGGTTCCCTGTAAACATTAATACATTTGTGTATAGTTAAGCTATTCCTGGTCCTGGCCTGACTCTATAGGGAATACAGGGAACTAGCCGATATTTTACAGATCCCTCTCACAGCACTTCTGCCTAGCTACCTATCTCTTCTATTTGGAAGGGGGAGCACATAGTTGGGTGCACCCAGGTTACATCAGTTTATTGTGATTTTCCAACAGAAATAATAAACTCATCCCATGAGAAACTGCTTCCCCACTTGACTACCAACGGCACTCTTTGTCCCCCCACCCCCACCTCCGGCTGGTGGGTCTCCTTCCTGACATGGCTCAACATTGGAAGATTTGCTCAAATGCATGAAAAACTGCATCATTGCTTCCCCACTACATGGTGTGCCTTTAAACCCTCCCTAATCACATTTCCATTTATTGTGAGTTTCCAGTCCAAGTAACATTTCAATCAATTGTGATTTTCCAATCAAAATAACATTTCCATTTATCGTGATTTTCCAATCAAAATAACATTGCAATCTTAGCACCCACCACAGTGCTTAGGCAAAGGCCCTCCCTCCTGCTTGCCTGCTGCCTGGCTTGGTGTGTCTCAGCAACCAGCATTGTGGTTAGCACCCAGCATGGCCTGTAATTTTGAAATGGAAATCAAGTAAAATTTCAATTTATTGTCATTTACTAATGGAAAAATCTGAAGGCGGGGGGAGCACATACAGGACTGCTGGCGGTGGTACAGGCATGACCACTAGCAGAGGGGAGTAAACAATCAGTAACTGCTTGGGCAAAGGCCTTCCCTCCCTCTTCCCCATTTGTATCTTCATTTCAGAATTAAGATATCCCACCACATTCTGAGAGTCCCCTAGAAAACTGCATCATTACTTCACCACTTAACTACTAATGGCACTCTCCCCCTGGCTGGTGGGTCTCCTTCCTTCTGCCTACTGGCCATGTCTCAGCAAATGAACAAGCCCTCCACATTGGGAGATTTCTTTAAATGCTCAATAGTAGAGGGTAGTAAACAATCAGTCATTTACAATATGGGTTGCTTCTCCACTTAAGTGCTAGGGTAGCAAACAGTTTGATTTCATGTGATTCACCAAGTGAAATAGCATTTTGATTTATTGTGACTGATCAATCAAAAATCTGTCAATTTATACTTAGTCCTGCTTGGTCTCAGGGCCAGGGCCTGGGCCTGCCTGCTTCGAGGTCAGGTGAGGGAGGTCCCACCTTTTCTCATATACATACATGCATGAATAACATTTCAAATCATTGTGATTCACCAAGCAAAATAGCATTTCAATTTAATTAAGCTATTTTTGCTGCACTTGCGAAAGTATTCACCTGATACTGGCTCATTGAATGAAAATGTTATTGGCTTGTTCACATCCCTTTCCACCTATTGCTTGGGATCCCCGTGCTTGGCACCCCACCCTGTGTTATTCTTTGTCTCTGCCCTGTAGGAGTGGTTGGGTTCTCACTGTGAATACTTGGATTCATACAAATATAACTCACTCATGGTTTTACTAATGCAAAGGAAAATAAAACATTAAAGTATTGTTATGTAAAAGAGAATGAATCATCTGACTCCTGTTTTTTGGGAAACTATTTGCAAAGCCTGAGCACCAACTGAGGAGCTATTTGCAAAACAGCACCAACCAGCAGAGCAGCAGCATCAGGCAGGTGAGTTTTGCCTTTGTAGTATAGAGGTGGATTAATATTAAAATGAATATTCCTTGGGTACCGGGGATTCCACCCAATGGGAGCCCCGAGGACACTGCTCCACCTACACTGCATGTTGGGGGAGCAGGGGAGGAGGGGGAGAACCACACAGGGGTGGAGGGTGTTTTGGAGGTGATGCAAAAAACCAAAGCCAACCATTACACAGAAGAGTCGCTAATTGCCCTCATTCAAATGTTTAGGAAGGCTCTCCGGTGCCTGGCCAAGTACTGCCGCTAGCCACTTTTTCTTGTCTGTTGGGTTCTGGGATGAATGGGGAGGGTGGGTCTTTCTTGCAAACAGGTGCTGCACCCTCAGAGAAAAAGGCTTACCAGGATGACTGTACATTGGGATTGGGGGTAAAACAATCATTGGACCTCCTAGAACAGTCGACCCTGTGACTGTTTCCAGTAATGCCATCACTCCATAAATGCCCCCGAGCAAAGGACCCCACGCTGAGGTGGGCAGGAGTTGTCATCACCTCTCCCAACTCACCTACCCCAAACTGCACAGACTGCCATGCATGTATGCCAATCTGCCTTTGAAAGAAAACATGCCACACACATAAAACACAATTTCAAATCTTTATTTAATAAAATGCAGTGCATTTACATGATTTTTTAATCAAAAAGGCATAATTAAAAAAAGATTTAAATAGTAAATAAATTTAAGAAAAAAAATTTTAAATAGAAAAATAGACAAAAAGTAGAGAAAAAAGTCAGGATTTTCCTCCCCGGCATCTATACAGCATTGTTTATTAAAACACTGTCTATACACTAGTATCTATATACACTATATAGCTATACAATATCTATACATTATTTAACTATACACTATTTTCTATAAGACACTATACAGTATACACTACTTATTACCTACACTATACACTATAACAATTACACTGTTACTAACTAACTTGCTTCTACTGGTGGATTCTTGATGCTTTTCCCTTATTGATTCTTTTTTATTTCTGATCTTGAAAGTCTTCTGCAGGGAGAGGAAGAAAGAAGAAGAGGACAGGGTTTTGGAACACAGTCCAAACACTGCCCCTTTGGCCCTTAACCCTCCCCCCACCCCCTGCACAAGATTGGTGGGACATTTCTGATATTACCTCTATATTACCCGAGATGCTGCATATCCTGGGGAGTGGGTCTGGCATGTAGCATCTGCCTGCACTATTCCTCGTGTTTCTGGAATGAATGGCAATGTCAATTATAAGAAATATTGAAGTGTTAAGTAGAAGTGCCATACTCCAAATGTAAGTCCAAGTTGCAAACTTACCATGCCACTGGCAGCAGTGATGCCACTCTGCTCATCAACAGCTTGGAACATCATGGTGGACACCATGGTGGGTGCAGCAGGTGGAGGGTGCAGGGGTGGGGGCACAGGTGTTGGGGGGAGCACATACAGGACTGCTGGTGGTGGTACAGGCACAACCACTAGCAGAGTGTAGTAAAAAACAGTACTTGGCAATACAGGTTGCTCCTCCATTTCTTTCTTTCTCTGTATTAAGTATTCTCTGCTAGGGTAACTACTAGAGACGCGCCCCCGCCCCACACACACACACACACATACCCCGTGCCCTTGCTGCCTAAAGTTAGGTGTGGGTGCAGGGGGAGGGAGGGATGATAAGGAGTCACAAAAAAAAAGAAAAAAATAACAGGAGCAAATAATAGCGGCACCTTCTGACCAAAGGCCTGAACTACAGAAATAGCACATCGCCACCTGGTGGCAAAAGAAAGTAATTACAGGTCTTTGAGTCAGTTGGTGTTTGCATGCCATGAATCCATAGATACGACAACATAATTGGCAGTGACACAAACTAAACTATGTCTGAGCACTTTTAGTTTAACGTGCCAGAAAGACTTTTTAAAAAGTGGGAAATCCTGCTTGTGCAAACAAAAATGCAGTTGCAGCAACATAAACAGGAATTGTGCATCGTGTACATAGGCCCATACAGTACTGAATATATCCTGAGGGAGCAGTGATGAGACAAAGGCGTTAACCAGGATGGCGCAAGTATGAAAACTTACAATATTTTTTAAGGTAACTCATAATTGCCTTTATGTACTTGAAGCAGTAAATACAAATATTCCAAGTCAGTGATTCTCCAGAATTTAATGTGGCCAACGGGGATACTGCTATCAACTGTTGGCCTTCCCAACCTCCCAATACCAATCTCACACCTCTCTTGTGACAACTGAAGTGCTGGTCAAATGGAAAATTAATATTGAGATTGTATTAATGAGACAAGAGGGAAAATAATATGACATGGCCTTTTTTGGGTCCCTTCTGCTTCGTTTTGTAAGTCTTGCTGTCATTGCTTTTCCCTGGGTATCAGGATCTATTTTTACTAACACTGAAACTCCTCTGCTTGACTGAAGCCACCACAGTTTTAAACTCTCCAAGTCACTTTGCAGTTCAGGCATGTCCTTCTGTTTGTTCAGTCAGTCCAATTCAATATCATAAAGCTGATCACAGTTGACTTTACAGCAAACCTGTGGTAAAGAAAAGCATTAAGCAGTATGCATAAAAAAGATTATCGTTAGGAAACCAGGACCTAGGTGGTCCTGCCTAGTGGTTAGGCATCTGAAGCACTGGTGCAGTCCCAATTAGTTCCTCAGGGAGCTAGGGGTACAAAAGAGTTTAGTGCAGGGGTCGGCAGCATTTTTGGGCAGAGTGCTAAAAACATCCATAACCCCAACCTGCAAGATGCTGGCATGCCAGGAGCAGGTCAGGAGTGAGGGAGCAGCAAGGGACCAATCCTTGTTGTGTCATGGCAGCTCTGGCCCCTTCCCCACCACCTGCCCTGAGGTGCATGTGCCTACCATGAAGCCCAGGCTGCTTACAGTGGAAAGGCTGCAAGCAGCTACACTGGGGTTCATAGAGGCCTGGCCCTGCTCATTGCCGGTGGCAGGTGCACATGCGCCTCAAGGCAAACAGCGGGGAAAGGGCCAAGGTTGCACTGCCACAACAAATATCAGGCCCCTCTTAGTTCCCCTACCATGCACATGCCGGGCAAAATGCCTTTGCATGCCATGCTCTAGCATGTGCTGGAGGTTGTCTGCCCCAGTCTAGCATCAGAATTGGATTCAGGAGCCAGAAACAAAGTCAAAGCAAGCTATAGCCAGAGAATTAACCAGGATCAGGAGTCAAAGGCCAGAGCCGAAGGTCAAACCAGAATCAAGAGAAAAGAACCAGAATCAGGGAATGCCAAGGGTTTTACCACAATTGGAAGCTGGCTCTTCAGTCAGTCAGAGCAAGGAATCAGAACAGGAAAACCAACAAGGAAGCACACAGATGGTCAGGAGCAAGGACCTTCACCTTTACCCAGACAAGGAGACAGCAGACTGGGCCTGGCTTTTAAGGGCTGGAGTGGGTGGGGTCTGCAGCCTGTTGGGTCAAGTGACTGCCTGTCTGGAATGCCTCACTCAGCCCAGCTGGGACCAGGGTACTGCTCTGGGCTTGCTACAGGTAGCACTTGTTCTGGCCATGACTTGCCCTGTTTTCTTGATTGGGACCAGCTGGGCACAGGGTTCTGGCCTGGCCCCTTATAATGTATTTATTTTCCTTTTCAGAATCCCAGACTAAGCTATGATTACTAGAAAACATCACTGCCCATGGACCATCATTTAGAACTGCCTATAAGCTGCATGTGGTTATATCAATGTGGCAGGCTTATGCCCTGTTCAGCACCACACAGCTAGAAGAGGGCTCATGGATTAGTCTGGTGCTGAAAATTCCTGCGGGTAAAAGGAGCTTGCCAGCCAAAATGTAGGCAACCGTGGGGAGAGGGGGAAGGAGCACCAGCTATGCCACCAGATGTTATCTCCATAGTTGGAATGGAATTTGCCTTACCCACAGAGACCTGTTGCTGGGTAAGGTAGCAGGAGCTCAGACAGTGGCTGGACCACCCCCAGAGCCAGTGCCAAAGCACGTGCTTACCTGCTGTGCTGAAGCCGAAGGCCCTTCCTGGGGTAGGAAGCCCAGGCAAACCACAGGATGCAGTGGATGATTAGCTGCCTAGGCGACAGAAACCAGGTATCAGCATGGGAGTCGCAACAGATAGGTTAAAGTGTGTGAACCTGACCTTGACCTCACCCACTCATCACTTCACCAACAGGGACACACAGGTCAGCCAGGACAGGAAGAGGGCAGCCCAAGGGTTATCGGTGGGACCTGCTGCAGGGAAGAACCCGCCTAGGGACCCTTTGATTCTGTTCACAGTGTTTGAGTGGTTATGGGCCCAAAATTCCCTGGCAAGGAGGTATCAGGGTCACAAGGGTCAGGCGGGCATGAGTAAATACCCCACAGGCTACTGTAAAACATGGCCAGGCACGAGCTGGCTCAGAATGTCAGTTCTTCCAAGATTTACACACAATGTGGGACCATGTGAAAACCATGCAAATTGTGCCACATGAAGCTCAGAATGCTGAAGAAAAGCACTGGACGTGGTAAGCATCACTGCCTTGCTTGCCCACATCATTCGAGCAGTTTCAGTTCTAGAATTGTTAAATTGACAGTTTATCAGTCACAGAAGCCATAACCAC